CCCAAACCAGGCACGTTTGGCATCCAGGCACAAAAGAAGAAGACCTGCTAATTACAAGCCGGGTGACCTCCTCACCCAGGATGCACACACAATGGGTGCTTCCTTGCATTGTGGAATGCATGCAGTTTGACCCCACTTGAACTGTCATGGCTCAGTGCAATGGAATCCATGGAGCTGTAGTTTAACAAGGTCAATTGCCCTTTCCACCGAATATGTACTAGTGCCTGACCAAACTACAACTCCCAGGATTATATAGCATTGAGTTATGGTAGCAAAGGTGGTGTCAATCTGCATTAACGTTGCACTCTGGCACTGAAACATCTTTTTGCCCAACACCACACCAGAGTCCAGTACTTACTTAGGCAATCCCTCGTAGTCCGAGGATGATGGTCCTCCAAGTGTAGTATCCTGGCGGTGGGTCCATAAGTGACTGTGGAGCCCTATTCCTGACTTGCATGTTCTCCCACAGTGAGGGCATCGGTTTCCAGACGGAAGGCGGTCCCGGTCGGGGTTGGCTTGATTCACCTTACTCTTGGCATGTTTCTCTCTTTCACCCTCCATTTGTATCTCTTCAGATTCTACAGCACTGCTGGTCACAGCTGACCTCCATCTGGAGCACTCAAGGGCCAGGGCTTCCCAGTTCCCAGTGTCTATGCCAGAGTTTTTAAGGTTGGCTTTGATCCCATCTTTAAATCTCTTTTCCTGTCCTCCAACATTCCGTTTTCCGTTCTTGAGTTCGGAATAGAGCAACTGCTTTGGGAGACAGTGGTCGGGCATTCGGACAATGTGGCCAGTCCAGTGGAGTTGATGGTGGAGGACCATTGCTTCAATGCTGGTGGTCTTTGCTTCTTCCAGCACGTTGACATTTGTCCACTTGTCTTCCCAAGATATTTGCAGGATTTTCCAGAGGCAGCGCTGATGGAATTGTTCCACGAGTTGCATGTGACGTCTGTAGACAGTCCACATCTCTCAGGGTTGGGAGGACAATAGCTTTGTAAACAAGCACCTTGGTCTCCCTATGAATGTCCCGTTCCTCAAACACTCTCTGCTTCATTCAGAAAAATGCTGCACTCGCAGAGCTCAGGTGGTGTTGTATTTCGGTGTCGGTGTTGACTTTGGTGGAGAGGTGGCTGCTAAGGTGGTGGAAATGGTCAACATTTTCTAATGTTACACCATTAAGCTGTATCTCTGGCATTGGAGAGGGATTGGCTGGTGACTGCTGGAAGAGCACTTTGGTTTTCTCTATGTTCAATGACAGGCCGAGCTTCTGGTATGCTTCTGCAAAGGTGTTTAGAGTGGCTTGTAGGTCTTCTTCTGAATGCACCAGAGTCAAGTAATACCGTCTAAAAATGTTGATTAAGGAAAGCAGGTACAAAGGAGGAAAGGATCAGAAAAATAGATAATTCTAATAATCCAAAATTGGCAAAGTATATAAAGTGAAGAGAGCCACAAGGGCTGTTGGGTTGCAATTCCCATTATCCCCAGATAATCAAAAGGGATGGGAGTTGTCCCATAACATCTGAGGACGCCAAATGGGTAAAAACTAAAGAGCACCAACCACTACGTAGAAAAATTATAGCCAGCCCTCTGTCTCCAACGGCCCTTTGAAGGCAACCAAAAGTCTGATGTGGCTCTCGATGGAAATGAGTCTAAAACATGGAACTGATCCTCCTTGGAAAACCTTAGCCCTGCACTTTTGTGGCAATTACATTTGGGGATGGAGTGGAGGAGGATGGGTCTGAGGCCATGCAGGATGTTATTTCCATGAGAGAATCCTCTGTTGGATTAGGAGATTGCTATGAATTACCCAGTCAAAGAAGCGGCGTTAAACCTTTCCCCGGTGGGAACCATTAAGGTCATTTTCCCACTTCGTTGAAGCTGAGGGCTTGCCCCCCTTCTCTGCTCTAATCTCTTAGGCAACCTCATCCAGTTCCAGGGAACCAGGGAGGGAGAATGAAAAGAGCAGGAACGGAGATGCATTTCCAATCAGGAAGAACACTGAGGCTATTATAAAGTGTTAACAATAATAAATTGTTTATTTAACAGGCTTAAACTTCTTCCAGTACAAATGCATAGTGGTTTCAGTAAGTTACTAGTACATAAGCTTCTGGTTACTTTCGATGTACAATTCTTAGAAGGGTTCTGGGTTCAAATCTTGATGTTAACAAAACAGGAAATTATCTCAGGAAATTAATCACTGATAATAATTCCAAACAAAATTCACCCTGTCTGAAACCTAGCCAATATCCTTTGGCCTAGCCTTCTTCAGGGACAAAGAACAGACCACGAACAAGGTCCAGTTCCACTATCTGTATTCCTAGCTAATTTCTCTAGCTCTTGAATACCACAAAAGATTAACCCAGCTCTTCTATCTAACACCAACCAACTGTTTATCACAGCATTTCTTTCTAAGTGATTGCAGACTGCTTCGTTAATGATCTGAATATCTGAAAGATTACATATAGGCACTAGTCCCTCCCAGGCCCTGAGGTTTTAGGGCCAACACCAAAAACCTCTTCTGATGTCACATGTGGTGGATTCTAGTCCAAACCTCAAGTGTTTTTTTTCTTGAGTAATTAAACCAATTTTGGCTATAGATTTACCAATTTGGAGAGCACCTTGGACTTTCAGGGCTGGTGCATGCACTATGAAATCAGCTTCCTAAGTAAGCAGAGAGCACAGTGACCTGTGTTGCATATGAGGATTATATGAGATTTGTAACCTACACACACTGAATTGTAGAGCTGGAATAGACCCTCAGGTCCATCCAGTACAACCCCATTGCCCATTTCTGGAGCATAGTTGTTTTGTCGCACGCTGGGCCTGTAACAGCTGTACTTTTCTATAGGATGTATACTTTAAGCCCAGCGGGAAGCCGGGGAGAGGTTCTCCGTCTTTAGAGTCTTCAATGATACAACAAAGTCTTTATTATGGAACAAACAACAAATCTTCAATGGTTCAAACAACATTTCAAGGCTTTCTTAGTCTAGTCCTCAATGGACTGGCACCTGACTTTGATTAACTGAACCTTCTTTGTAGGAAAAACCTTTTTTAACCTCTCAAAGGCTATTACCATCTATGCCTCATCGGTGCGGGTCCTACTACCAATTCCAAATGCGTCTGGGTATCGAGTAGACCTACCAGCCGAGGCTTGAAGATATTTCAGCTGGAGTTCTGTGGATCTGTAGTGCTGTCCTCCCTCCGAGAGTTCTTTGAGAACTTCAGAACTGTTTTCCCTCTGTTTGCTGTGAGGCTGAGAGGCTGTGAGCGCTCAGCCAGAGCCTTGGGACCTTTTCCCTGGAATTTCTGTTTCTGTTTCCCCGGATGTTCCTTTTCCCTGGATGCTCCTTTTCCCTGGATGCTCTTGAGAAAAGAAGCTTTTCTACGGGAAGAGCTGGTCTACATCCTATAGTATAGCTTCCTTGTGTGAGACTGACCAAAAAATGGCTCCTTTCCCTCCCAGAGCCCTGAACAAGGGGCAGAACCAAAGCTTAATTATGATGGACAGGAGGCCTGCCCTATAACTGCAAACATAACAGAAAGAAAATAAAGTTGGAGCTCCTGGTACAGCCGTACCAGCACAATAGTACAGACAGTATTGTTGTTGTTTGTTTGTTTCCAAGTTGACTTCGATGGGTGGCAATCCCATAAAGGATGGACCCCTGTTAACAACAGCCTTGCTCAGGCCATGCAAAGCTAAGTGAACTACAAACCTATGGCTAGAACGGGCCATCCAAGTGTTTTGGACTTCCACAATTTTTAACAGTCAATAGGCTGTTAGGAATTGTGGGAGTTGAAGTCCAAAATGGCTGGAGGGCCCACGTTTTCCCATGCTTGAGCTAGAAGCAAAAGAATTTGGAAGACAGTTTTGCCAATGAGACTTGATGGATGAACTCTCAGCCCAGTTGCTTTGGCTTCTCTGCGTTTCCTTGGAATCCATCTTCCCCCTTCCCCTTGTCATTGCTAAACTATTGTCCTCCCCACTGGCTGTCTGCTCTGGAGCCAGCCATGCGGGCCATGAATCATCTCCATGGCACCCCATTTCCATAATGAGGAAGAAATTGATTGTGGAGAGGAGCAGGCGTATTGGCAATCGCAGGAGTGCCTGCCTTTCAGCTCCCCCTTCCTTCTATTTAAGGTCTTCCTCTACCTGATGCAAACATTAGACAAGGAAATGCCAGCTCTGGACCGGCCGGCCTCTTTGGAGGGAGGTTTGTCCATTGAATTGCCCAGGCCAGGCTTGGATGGAGTCAAGGGTAGATGTGTGCAAAGCATGCCTGCAATTCACCAGTAGACATCTGCCTACACGCACGCACACACATACATATATATACACACATATGAATATATTGGAGATGGAACCCAAGTCTGAACACAAAATTCATTTATGTTTCATATGCAACTAGCCTACGGGCAATTTTATACAATACTAGCCGTCCCCTGCCACGCATTGCTGTGGTCCACATGGGGGTTCTGTGTGGGAGGTTTGGCCCAATTCCATTGTTGGTGGGGTTCAGAACTACAACTCCCAAATGTCAAGATTCTTTTTTCCCCAAACTCCACCAGTGTTCACATTTGGGCATATTGAGTATTTGTGTAGAGTTTGGTCCAGATCCATCATTGTTTGAGTCCACAGTGATCTCTGGATGTAGGTGAACTACAGCTCCAAAACCAAAGGACACTGCCCACCAAACCCTTCCAGTATTTTTTGTTGGTCATGGGAGAACTGTGTGCCAAGTTTGACCCAATTCCATCATTGGTGGAGTTCAGAATGCTCTTTGATTTTAGGTAAACTATAAATCCCAGCAATGACAATTCCCAAATGACAAAATCAATTTTTTTGAGTGGAGGACATAAATTGGATCCTAATCTCTGGACCAGTAAAAAAACATAACAGTCCATCTTTTCCTGTTCTCCACTCTCATCTTTCGATGGCTAATCTGTCTTTGTAAATGCTTAAGTGCTAACCTTTCCTTTTCCTTCTTCCTTCCTTCCTGCAGAGCCAGCTCTCTCAAGCCCTGAACGGCCTCTCCGACCGAGCCAAGGAAGCCAAAGAATTCCTGGTGCAGCTACGGAACATGGTGCAGCAGATCCAGGTACAGCTCTAAATTTTACCTCCACGTTCCCATTACCACCGCAGCCCCCAATGCAACATCAATGCAAAGCCATAGAGTTTAATAAAGTTAAAGTTCTAGGATAAAAGTTGTGTCCAATTTTCCTTGCCTTTGTCTCCTTGTACTGTCTGCCAGATGGTAATAATTCCAATAAAGTATATGCTGGATCCCCAAGAATGGCCTGAGCTTTCTTAAGGCTGCGGGACCTATAAAGTTCTTCCAAAGAGGGGAGAAAGAGGGCGACTCACGACTCTCTGTGCAGACGTGGTGATGCTTTGGAGCACCTTCCTGTCTGCCACCGTGCAATTACCAAACCATGCGCAGATGCAGTAGGTCAGGACACTCTCTATAGAACAGCAGGAGAAAGTCACCAGCAGTTTTTCATTCAGTTGTTGGTTCCTTAGTAGTCTCAGGTAGTACAGTCTCTGCTGGGCACTCCTGACCAATGCTGCGGTATGAATGCTTACCCAGATCCTCCTTCAAAGGGACACCCAGGAACTTAAGACTGGTCACCCACTCCATTTATGTCCAAGGGCTGGATTTCTGGTTTGTTCTCTCTGTAGTCCACTATGAGCTCCTTGATCTTATTGACACTGAGAACCAGATTATTGTCCCTTTACTACGAGAGCAGTTACATTCCCTCAATCAGGATACTATACCCCTTTTGATGTAGCCTAGAATCACATTGGCATACCGACATACCTCTGGTTGTACTGGTCCATTTAGTTTTATTGGCAAGAATACTGGGGAGGTTTGCCATTGCCTTCCCCAGGGATCGCGCTTGGTCTGACCTCTCTGCCACGACCGTCCCATCTTGGGTGGCCCTTCACGGTTTCGCTTGTGACATCATTGAGGTGCTCAAGCTCCAGCGCCACGATCCTTTGCTGGAGTACACATCCTGAGAAAAAAGGAAAGCTTGGAAAAGACAATGATGCTGGGGAAATGGAAGGAAAAAGGAAGAGGGGCCGACCAAGAGCAAGGTGGATGGATGGTGTCCTTGAAGTGACTGGATTGACCTTGAAGGAGCTGGGGGTGGTGACAGCTAAAAGGAAGCTCTGGCGTGGGCTGGTCACACCTGGAATATTGTGTCCAATTCTGGGCTCCACAATTCAAGAGAGAGATTGACAAGCTGGAATGTGTCCAGAGGAGGGCGACTCAAATGATCAAGGGTCTGGAGAACAAGCCCTATGAGGAGCGGCTTAAGGAGCTGGGCATGTTTAGCCTGAAGAAGAGAAGGCTGAGAGGAGATATGATAGCCATGTATAAATATGTGAGAGGAAGCCACAGGGAGGAGGGAGCAAGCTTGTTTTCTGCTTCCCTGGAGACTAGGAAGCGGAACAATGGCTTCAAACTACAAGAGAGGAGATTCCATCTGAACATGAGGAAGAACTTCCTGACTGTGAGAGCCGTTCAGCAGTGGAACTCTCTGCCCCGGAGTGTGGTGGAGGCTCCTTCTTTGGAAGCTTTTAAACAGAGGCTGGATGGCCATCTGTCAGGGGTGATTTGAATGCAACGTTCCTGCTTCTTGGCAGAATGGGGTTGGACTGGATGGCCCATGAGGTCTGTTCCAACTCTTTGATTCTATGATTCTATGAGGTCACGAAGAGTCAGAAACAACTGAACAAATGAACAACAACAAGAATCACATTGGCCTTTAAACTCCTGCATCACATTGTTGACACATTTTCAACTTGTGCTCGACTGAAACTCCTAGATTCCTTTCTAAGCTTGCTGCCAACTGCTGTAATTTTTTGCTCATACTAACCTGGGAATGCTCTGGCCGGAGATTCTGCATGGGTCAGGGGATTTAACCCGGTGGTCCATGGGGCCACTTCCAAATCTTTGGTTCTAGGAAGCCTTGTGAGTCTAACATGGAGCTACTGCAGGATACGAAGAAGCCCAAAACCTTAATGCAACCTTTCTGTTTAGATAGGCAGCTCAAGAAATAGGCACCCTCCCTTCCAGATGGCTCAGAAGATCTTAATTCCTCACACCAATCTGCTTTGAAAAGCCCCAGTCGCTAAAGAAAAGTCCGAAGATGGGAGAAAGAGGGCAGCCAATGATCCTCTGCACAGAAGTGGTGACCCTTTGGAGCGCCCTCCCATCTGCCATGGTGCAGTGAGCAAACCAGGTGCAAGTGCAATTTGCCTGCTTCTTGGCGGGATGGGGCTGGACTGGATGGCCCACGAGGGCTCTTCCAACTCTAGGATTCAACCTGACATCCTTTCAAACATTTAATCATAGCTATCATGTCCCTGCTTGGCTTTCTTTTCTTGAGCTAAATAGACCCAGCAGATTACGTCACTTCTTGCATGCATTCATAACTTCCAGACCTTTGTCCACCTTGTCCACCTTCCTCTGGACACCTTCCAGCTTGTTCATCTCCTTCTTGAATTGCTTTGCCCAGATCTGAACACAGGGCTATTATTCCAGGTGATAAAGTCTGACCAAAACAGAAGAGAGTGGAACTACGACTTCCTTTGCTATAGACAAATGAAGAGTCTATAATCACATTGGCTTTTTTAGCTGCTGTATGACATGGTTGGCTCATTTTTAATATCCCTGTCACCCTTTTCAACCAAGAAGATGGCTGAGAGTTGCCCCAGAACTTCTCCCCGTGGTTGAGTGATTGAGGAGTATTTTCTTCTTCTTCTTCTTCTACAGGAGAACAGCGTGGAGTTTGAGGCCTGCCTTGTTGCTCAGTGCGATGCGTTGATCGATGCCCTCAACAGGAGGAAAGCCCAGCTGCTCTCCCGGGTCAACAAGGAACACGAGCACAAGCTGAAGGTGAGTCTGAGCTGCTATCAAGTGTGGCACCTTCCAGAGTTATGGTACAGCAGTTCCCAGAATCCTGCGTAACATTTGGAGGAAGGCGTTCTGTTTGTTAAACCCATTTTCTGTATGGGTGTGTCATGAATAACTTTAAAGCATGGGTTCTTTTTATTGCAATTCCCAGTGTGAGAGGGTACATCAGATTACAGAAAAACATGGACCACCGTGGCCAAGTTAGACTTCCCAAGGTACGGGCGCAGATGACACACAAGTTTTAGTTGTGCAAAAGCTCTCCCGGCCACCGCCGAGACCTGGGGTTCCAGGCTCAGCGATGAGTCTGTAGCCGAACTAGACTTTAGGGGGGTCAACTCCAAGGAGAGATGACCCTTAGTTCCCACCAAAGAGGGAACGCTACCTTGGCAAGCCTTCAGAGAAGCCTGATTCCAGCAATTTTATTTAATATTAATAATTGAAATGAGACTCTTGCCAAAGCGAAGAAGGGGCATCGAGGTTTTAATGAGCGATTCAGCTGCAATCGGATGCATTGTAGGAATAGTTCCACTACAAGCATAGCAATACAGAATTTTACTGGCATTTTTATAGAGAAAATACAGGTTTGAAAGTTTCAAAACTCCCTTCCTCTTTGGCTCCTTAGCAAATCAGGGAGAGGGAGGCAGGACGGAAGAGGGGCATTGTTTTGTCCAGCAAAGGTTGATTTCATTAAGAAAGGTTTTCCTGCTCTTGATGGGTTTTGGTGAAGGAAAACAAACAGGATCAGGGCAGGGGACCTTGGGGGGGGGGGGATCAACCCTGCCCTTTGTGATTCAATCAAAGTGTCCAGATAAACTTCCTTGCCTGCCAGACAAAGCAAACAAGAGGAAGTTTCAGCTTGCTATTGTCCATGCGGAGGTGAAATAATCAAATGAGTTTCAAGGGAGGTGGTGGTCCTCCCTCAAGCATTTCAACAGTCCCATCTGGGTCACATTTTTTTTAGGGCAAAAGGCAAAGGGGAAAGGCAATATTTCATAGCAAGATACATACATTCAAATCATAAGCATTTCATAGCAACAAAACCCCATCTTTGTCCCACATCCCAAGTATATTTAATAAGAGAATTAATTTTCATGAAGAAGCCTGAAGTCCAATGTTTTAAAAGGTCTTTGAGGAAAGTTCATGAGGGAGATAGTATGTACTGAAGTCCAAGACATGCAGGCAGAGAGTCCATGATCATTGGGAAGGCTGGCAGATGAAACCCCAGCTGTGCTGCAACTGATTCATGCTTTTGTTCCTTGGGAAACTACAACTCTCACAAAGGGCAGAAGTCCCAAGATCCAGCCATTTCCCAAAAGCCTCGTGGGGTCCTTGTTGTTGTCAGTGCCTTGGCAATGTGACCAAGACTTAACCCTTGTTGTGTAGTCTGGTGCCCTTTCCCTTTGCAGAATTATAAGTCACTATCCCTTTTTTTTTTTGGGGGGGGGGGTGCTCGACATCAAGTCCAGGATCACACCCAAGCTGCAAACCTGCTGCGTCTTCAGGGGGAGTGTTACCCCGTCTAACACAGGCTGTAATCCTATCAAAACAATATTGCATATGTGATCACTCCGGGTTTTGATCACCTTCACATTTGCTGGATGCAGAAAGTATGGCCCCTTCTACACTTCCCAATAATCCAGGTTATCAAAGCAGAAAATCCACATTATCTGATTTGTACTGGGTTATCATAGTGCCAATGGAGCCCCCGGTGGCGCAGTGGGTTAAACCCCTGTGCTGGCACGACTGAAGACCAACAGGTTGCAGGTTCGAATCCGGGGAGAGCGCGGATGAGCTCCCTCTATCAGCTCCAGCTCCCCATGCGAGGACATGAGAGAAGCCTCCCACAAGGATGATAAAACATCAAAACATCCGGTCGCTCCCTGGACAACATCTTTGCAGACTGCCAATTCTCTCACACCAGAAGCGACTTGCAGTTTCTCAAGCCGCTCCTGACATGAAAAAAAAATCATAGTGCCCTTCCACACAGCCACATAACCCAGAATATATAGGCAGATGATCCACACAATATCTGCTTCGAATTGGAATATCTGAGTCCACACTGCCAGATAATCCAGTTCAGGGTGGATTTTATACAGTTGTGTGGAAGGGGCCTCAGTCTACATTGCCTTCTAATCCAATTCAAAGCAGATCATGTGGTTTTTATATGGGGACCTTGCTGGGTTTTGCAATCCTGGCATGACTCCCTCCCTTGGAATCGACCAGCCAGAACAGGAAGCGAATTGTGATGCAGAAGGGGAGATGCATTCAGAGAAGGTGCTGTGGGTCGCTTGCAGAGAAAGGACCCAGGGGTTGCTAAGGCCAACAGTTGCCATAGGAACAGCTGGGGATAGAGGGAGGGGGGTCCGGGTGGGCTGTGCGTGCCATGGACCATCCAGAGTGACCTTGGAGGGAGGGAAGGATGCCGAGATGAAGGTTGCTGACAGATTCCCGATGGAAGGAGGTTATGATGATTGGGGCTGGAAATACACCCAACATGGGGATGTGTGGATGTTCCAATGGTGCCTTTCCAAGCAGATCAAAAGGGCAGGAGAGCTGCTCCGAAATGGGTCAGCTGGACCCAGAGGTCTTTTCTTCGGGTTGGTGAAAAAGGCTGCAGCAAAATGCTTTCTGGTCCACTTAACCCAAATGCAGCTGATCCACTCTGCAGAAGGCAGCTTTAGCAGGAGAGTTCTTTGCCTCCTTTTTTCCAGCCTGGGGGTCTCTTCCTGTTGCCCTGACCTTCCATTAGACTTTGATTTGCAGGGCCTAACATAAGAGTTAGAAGGGACCCCAAGGGAACATCCAAACCAACCCCTTACTGGCATGTTGCGTGGTCTCCGGTCTGTATGGCCAATGTGTTCCAGCAGCATTTCCTCCTGATGTTTTGCCTGCATCTGTGCGTAATTTCATCTTCAGAGGATCTGATGGTGTTAAAAGCCTGTCTACTTCTACACAGATGCCTTCACTATGGACTATGCAATCTTCTCAATGCCCTTCCAGACAGCCATTTTATTATATTGTCGAAGGCTTTCATGGCCAGAATCACTGGGTTGTTGTAGGTTTTTTCAGGCTATATGGCCGTCTTCTAGAGGCATTCTCTCCTGACGTTTCGCCTGCATCTATGGCAAGCATCCTCACTACCTCTGCTAGCTAGGGCTGGGCGGTTTCGTTTCGTTAATTCGTAATTCGTTAAAAATTCGTTATTTTTTTTATAAAGAAGCAATAATGAACCATTCTGGAGCAACTTAAAAACGAAACGAATTTTTTAATTCGTTTCGTAAATGCTTCGGATTCGTTATGTATTCGTTTCGTTATCGGTCTGAGGTCGTTTCGTTATTATTTCCGCATGTCTGGGTCAAGTTTTATAGTTGTTTTTTGTTTAATTAGTGAAAAAAAATATAATATCACACCAACAGTCAACAACAGAGGGAGAGGGAAGCTTCAGAAGTTCCCCCTCTCCCATTTGGAGGTTTTTTAGCGTATTGCGCGGTCGCGTCCGCCATTAAAGAATCGATTCGTTATTGTTTCGTATTTGTTTCGTTAATGCTTCGTAATTTTTTTACATTTACGAAATTTCGTAAATATCGAACTTTTTAAAAGAAAAATTTCGGAATTCTTTTAAATATCGAAATGCAAAAACCCCCAAAAAACGAATTGATTTTAGAAACACATTTTTCCGTTGTTACCCAGGCCTAATGCTTGCCATAGATGCAGGCAAAACGTCAGGAGAGAATGCCTCTAGAACATGGCCATATAGCCTGAAAAAACCTACAACAACCCAGCCATTTTATTTATTTATTTATTTACAGTATTTATATTCCGCTCTTCTCACCCCACAGGGGACTCAGGGTGGATCACGATGCACATATACATGGCAAACATTCAATGCCATAGACACACAACATACATAGACAGACAGACACACAGAGGCTATTTAACTTTCCGGCTTCATGAGGGTATGATTTTTGAATTCCAGCCACTGGAGGAGCTGTTGCTTCACTGTCCATTTATGACACCGATTGAGTACTTCCTCATTCTTTTGCACGCTGCTGGAGAGTTTTATGGCATCATAAATTAGTTAAATTAGCCTCCCTGCATAAATGGTACCTAAATTTCCTACTTGACAGATGCAACTGTCTTTCGGGCTGCAAAGTTTGACAGCAAGCTCAACAAATGGTCGGGAGCTTACTCAGACCCAGGCTGGTTTCGAACTCATGACCTTTCAGTCTGTAGTGACTATTTGGCAAAGCAAGGCAAATTAAGGAAACAAACTGCACCCTCACACCCCAATATTACCCACCCACGCGTCGCCCACCCATCCCAAACCCAAACAGCAAAAATCACACAAGCGGCTGCAAGGCAGCTAGCCAGGCAGGCAATAGCGCTTCCCCCTGCCCTGGTTCTCTGCTGTCCTGGCTATTCTTCTCCCACAACAACAACAACACACAAGTGGCTGCAAGGCAGGCAGCCAGGGGCAGGCAACAGCCCTTCTCTGCTTGCCCTGCTCTTCTTCCAACTTCCCTTCAACCTCCCTTTCTCTTTCCCTTTCCCTTCTCCCTTCCATTCCCTTCTTGGGCTCACAATGAGCCTCTGAGCCATGTGCTGCCCCACCCCGCCCCTCCCCAAACCTTCTCTCCTCGTTGGCTGGGAGGCAAGCCTCCCAGCATGCAAGCTGCTTGCCTCCAAACACTGACTCACTTCCAACTCACTTCATGAGTCATAAGAAAAATGGCAAGAGAAGCTTTGAAATGACAAGGAGAAGGTTTCAGGAAAAGAGACAAAGAGAGGTCCGGAGGTCTCAAAAGCACGGATTTTATTTCCAGCTGGGACCCTGGAGTGGACTATGTCCAAAAGCATCCGGAGCAATGATATAGGTGCGGACTTTCCCTTTTATAGTCTCCAAATGCAAGCAAACAAAGAACATGTGTCTACATACATTGACCTCATTATGCTAAGATGATGTATGCATCATCTTAGCATCA